GTATAAAGATGGTTGTAGGTGCAAATCCTGTCGTGGTCAGATTGAAGTTGATGAGTTTTTACTGTTATTGTGTTTTCTTGCAATGCAATTAATACAAAGATCCAGATCGTTTCTCACACTCCTCTCTATTGCCTATTTTAATACAATCGAATTCTTAAAAAACAACAACAATATCAATGTATCTGCAATTATGCCAAGTGGTTTAGGGCACCCAATGATGATATCACTTCTACATTGTTATTTTGAGCAAGGAGAGCAAGGTTCAGCGACTAAATCTTGAAGTGTGAGTCGACGCCGTGACAGAGGTTTGTTTCACTAATGCACATCATTTTGAAAAAGGTATTATAACATCTCCATATTTTCCTACTTGAAATCATCTCACACTAAACTCTTAGCTAACTCTGGTCCGTACATCTTGCTATACCTCGAACCACTCACTTTATCCTACAACACATTACTTAGCTCACCCTAACCCTAACACAACCTCCTGTCGAACTCCTCACCTCTAACCTAACTGTGACCCCACATGATCTGACCGTACCCTGAACTGCACCGTATTTCTCAACTCACCCTATTGCCTCACCAAACCATAAGCCCTCAACTGAATCTATCCCTGACCGACCCCTCATCCCTTGCCTAACAATTTGCGAAATATGAACTTCGTGAAAATTCAATGTGACAGTAATTCCTGTAGTGTAAAAAGAAATATTTGACCACGGCAGGATTCGAACCTGCAATCTTCTGATCCGAAGTCAGACGCCTTATCCATTAGGCCACGTGGCCCTGCATGGTAGAAGAGCACCCTCCTGAGGAGAGTCTTGAGAGTCTGTAGTTCTTCTTTTGAAACCACAGTGTATACCTGCTAGTATGAGGAAACCATTTTGAGCTTTCAGTGAGTGGTGGGATATCCACATAACCACAGCGGGCGCGCACTTATTTCATTCCGAAACCTGGTAAAGGCCATCACAAACCCCTGGGGGAGTTTAGTTGAAGGTTCACATAAAAGTATAGCTTAGAAGCCCTTTTGCAGATGGATTTGACCGCGTGGCCTAATGGATCAGGCGTCTGACTTTGTATAAAGATGGTTGTAGGTGCAAATCCTGTCCGTGGTCAGGATTCAAGCTGATGAGTTTTTTACTGTTATTGTGTTTTCTTGCAATGCATTTAATACAAAGATCCAGATCGTTTCTCACACTCCTGTCTTTTGCTTATTTTAGTACAATCGAATTCTTAAAAAACAACAACAATATCAATGTATCTGCAGTAATGCCACGTGGTTTAGGGCACCCATTGACGATATCACTTGTACATTGTTCTTTTGAGCAAAGAGAGCAAGGTTCAGCGACTAAATCTTGAAGTGTGAGTCGAAGCTGTGACAGAGGCTTGTTTTATTAATGCACATCATTTTGAAAAAGGTATTATAACATCTCCATATTTTCCTACTTGAAATCATCTCACACTGAACTTCTTAGCTAACTCTGATCCGTACATCTTGCTATACCTCGAACCACTCACTTTATCCTGCAACACATTACTTAGCTCACCCTAACCCTAACACAACTTCCTGTCGAACTCCTCACCTCTAACCTAACTGGACCCCACATAATATGACCGTACCCTGAACTGCACCGTATTTCTCAGATCACCCTATTGCCTCACCAAACCATAAGCCCTCAACTGAATCTATCCCTGACCGACCCCTCACCGCTTCCCTAACAATTTGCAAAATATGAACTTCGTGAAAATTCAATGTGACAGTAATTCCTGTAGTGTAAAAGTAAATATTCGACCACGGCAGGATTCGAACCTGCAATCTTGTGATCCGAAGTCAGACGCCTTATCCATTAGGCCACGCGGCCCTGCATGGAAGAAGAGCACCCTCCTGAGGAGAGTCTTGAGAGTCTGTAGTTCTTCTTTTGAAACCAAAGTGTATACCTGCTAGTATGAGGAAACAATTTTGAGCTTCCAGTGAGTGGTGGGATATCCACATAACCACAGCGGGCACGCACTTATTTCATTCCGAAACCTGGTAAAGGCCATCACAAACCCCTGGGGGAGTTTAGTTGAAGGTTCACATAAAAGTATAGCTTAGAAGCCCTTTTGCAGATGGATTTGACCGCGTGGCCTAATGGATCAGGTGTCTGACTTCGTATAAAGATGTTTGTAGGTGCAAATCCTGTCGTGGTCAGATTGAAGCTGATGAGTTTTTACTGTTATTGTGTTTTCTTGCAATGCAATGAATACAAAGATCCAGATCGTTTCTCACACTCCTCTCTTTTGCCTATTTTAATACAATCGAATTCTTAAAAAACAACAATATCAATGTATCTGCAATTATGCCACGTGGTTTAGGGCACCCAATGATGATATCACTTCTACATTGTTATTTTGAGCAAGGAGAGCAAGGTTCAGCGACTAAATCCTTGAAGTGTGAGTCGACGCCTGTGACAGAGGTTTGTTTTATTAATGCACATCATTTTGAAAAAAGGTATATAACATCTCCATATTTTCCTACTTGAAATCAGTCTCACACTAAATTCTTAGCTAACTCTGATCCGTACATCTTGCTATACCTCGAACCACTCACTTTATCCTACAACACATTACTTAGCTCACCCTAACTCTAACACAACCTCCTGTCGAACTCCTCACCTCTAACCTAACTCTGACCCCACATAATCATGACCGTACCCTGAACTGCACCGTATTTCTCAGCTCATCCCTATTGCCATCACCAAACCATAAGCCCTCAACTGAAGTCTATCCCTGACCGACCCCTCACCCCTTGCCTCACAATTTGCAAAATATGAACTTCGTGAAAATTCAATGTGACAGTAATTCCTGTAGTGTAAAAATAAATATTCGACCACAGCAGGATTCGAACCTGCAATCTTCTGATCCGAAGTCAGACACCTTATCCATTAGGCCACGCGGCCCTGCATGGTAGAAGAGCACCCTCCTGAGGAGAGTCTTGAGAGTCTGTAGTTCTTCTTTTGAAACCACAGTGTATACCTGCTAGTATGAGGAAACCATTTTGAGCTTTCAGTGAGTGGTGGGATATCCACATAACCACAGCGGGCGCGCACTTATTTAATTCCGAAACCTGGTAAAGGCCATTACAAACCCCTGGGGGAGTTTAGTTGAAGGTTCACATAAAAGTATAGCTTAGAAGCCCTTTTGCAGATGGATTTGACCGCGTGGCCTAATGGATCAGGCGTCTGACTTGTATAAAGATGTTTGTAGGTGCAAATCCTGTCGTGGTCAGATTCAAGCTGATGAGTTTTTTACTGTTATTGTGTTTTCTTGCAATGCATTTAATACAAAGATCCAGATCGTTTCTCACACTCCTGTCTTTTGCTTATTTTAGTACAATCGAATTCTTTAAAAACAACAACAATATCAATGTATCTGCAGTAATGCCACGTGGTTTAGGGCACCCAATGATGAAATCACTTCTACATTGTTCTTTTGAGCAAAGAGAGCAAGCTTCAGCGACTAAATCTTGAGGTGTGAGTCGAAGCTGTGACAGAGGCTTGTTTTAATAATGCACATCCTTTTGAAAAAAGGTATTATAACATCTCCATATTTTCCTACTTGAAATCATCTCACACTAATTTCTTAGATAACTCTGATCCGTACATCTTACTAAACCTCGAACCCCTCACTTTATCCTGCAACACGTTACTTAGCTCACCCTAACCCTAACACAACTTCCTGTCAAACTCCTAACCTCTAACCCCACATAATATGACCGTACCCTGAACTGCACCGTATTTCTCAGCTCACCCTATTGCCTCACCAAACCATAAGCCCTCAACTGAATCTATCCCTGACCGACCCCTCACCGCTTCCCTAACAATTTGCAAAATATGAACTTCGTGAAAATTCAATGTGACAGTAATTCCTGTAGTGTAAAACTAAATATTCGACCACGGCAGGATTCGAACCTGCAATCTTCTGATCCGAAGTCAGACGCCTTATCCATTAGGCCACGCGGCCCTGCATGGTAGAAGCAGCACCCTCCTGAGGAGAGTCTTGAGAGTCTGTAGTTCTTCTTTTGAAACCACAGTGTATACCTGCTAGTATGAGGAAACCATTTTGAGCTTCAGTGAGTGGTGGGATATCCACATAACCACAGCAGGCGCGCACTTATTTCATTCCGAAACCTGGTAAAGGCCATCACAAACCCCTGGGGGAGTTTAGTTGAAGGTTCACATAAAAGTATAGCTTAGAAGCCCTTTTGCAGATGGATTTGACCGCGTGGCCTAATGGATCAGGCGTCTGACTTCGTATAAAGATGGTTGTAGGTGCAAATCCTGTCGTGGTCATATTGAAGCTGATGAGTTTTTACTGTTATTGTGTTTTCTTGCAATGCAATTAATACAAAGATCCAGATCGTTTCTCACACTCCTCTCTTTTGCCTATTTTAATACAATCGAATTCTTAAAAACAACAACAATATCAATGTATCTGCAATTATGCCACGTGGTTTAGGGCACCCAATGATGATATCACTTCTACATTGTTATTTTGAGCAAGGAGAGCAAGGTTCAGCGACTAAATCTTGAAGTGTGAGTCGACGCCGTGACAGAGGTTTGTTTCACTAATGCACATCATTTTGAAAAAAGGTATTATAACATCTCCATATTTTCCTACTTGAAATCATCTCACACTAAACTCTTAGCTAACTCTTGTCCGTACATCTTGCTATACCTCGAACCACTCACTTTATCCTACAACACATTACTTAGCTCACCCTAACCCTAACACAACCTCCTGTCGAACTCCTCACCTCTAACCTAACTCTGACCCCACATAATCTGACCGTACCCTGAACTGCACCGTATTTCTCAGCTCACCCTATTGCCTCACTAAACCATAAGCCCTCAACTGAATCTATCCCTGACCGACACCTCATCCCTTGCCCTAACAATTTGCAAAATATGAACTTCGTGAAAATTCAATGTGACAGTAATTCCTGTAGTGTAAAAATAAATATTCGACCACAGGCAGGATTCGAACCTGCAATCTTCTGATCCGAAGTCAGACGCCTTATCCATTAGGCCACGCGGCCCTGCATGGTAGAAGAGCACCCTCCTGAGGAGAGTCTTGAGAGTCTGTAGTTCTTCTTTTGAAACCACAGTGTATACCTGCTAGTATGAGGAAACCATTTTGAGCTTCAGTGAGTGGTGGGATATCCACATAACCACAGCGGGCGCGCACTTATTTCATTCCGAAACCTGGTAAAGGCCATCACAAACCCCTGGGGGAGTTTAGTTGAAGGTTCACATAAAAGTATAGCTTAGAAGCCCTTTTGCAGATGGATTTGACCGCGTGGCCTAATGGATCAGGCGTCTGACCTTGTATAAAGATGGTTGTAGGTGCAAATCCTGTCGTGGTCAGATTGAAGCTGATGAGTTTTTACTGTTATTGTGTTTTCTTGCAATGCAATTAATACAAAGATCCAGATCGTTTCTCACACTCCTCTCTTTTGCCTATTTTAATACAATCGAATTCTTAAAAAACAACAATATCAATGTATCTGCAATTATGCCACGTGGTTTAGGGCACCCAATGATGATATCACTTCTACATTGTTATTTTGAGCAAGGAGAGCAAGGTTCAGCGACTAAATCTTGAAGTGTGAGTCGACGCCGTGACAGAGGTTTGTTTCACTAATGCACATCATTTTGAAAAAAGGTATTATAACATCTCCATATTTTCCTACTTGAAATCATCTTACACTAAACTCTTAGCTAACTCTGGTCCGTACATCTTGCTATACCTCGAACCACTCACTTTATCCTACAACACATTACTTAGCTCACCCTAACCCTAACACAACCTCCTGTCGAACTCCTCACCTCTAACCTAACTGTGACCCCACATGATCTGACCGTACCCTGAACTGCACCGTATTTCTCAACTCACCCTATTGCCTCACTAAACCATAAGCCCTCAACTGAATCTATCCCTGACCGACCCCTCACCGCTTCCCTAACAATTTGCAAAATATGAACTTCGTGAAAATTCAATGTGACAGTAATTCCTGTAGTGTAAAAGTAAATATTCGACCACGGCAGGATTCGAACCTGCAATCTTCTGATCCGAAGTCAGACGCCTTATCCATTAGGCCACGCGGCCCTGCATGGTAGAGCAGCACCCTCCTGAGGAGAGTCTTGAGAGTCTGTAGTTCTTCTTTTGAAACCACAGTGTATACCTGCTAGTATGAGGAAACCATTTTGAGCTTCAGTGAGTGGTGGGATATCCACATAACCACAGCGGGCGCGCACTTATTTCATTCCGAAACCTGGTAAAGGCCATCACAAACCCCTGGGGGAGTTTAGTTGAAGGTTCACATAAAAGTATAGCTTAGAAGCCCTTTTGCAGATGGATTTGACCGCGTGGCCTAATGGATCAGGCGTCTGACTTGTATAAAGATGGTTGTAGGTGCAAATCCTGTCGTGGTCAGATTGAAGCTGATGAGTTTTTACTGTTATTGTGTTTTCTTGCAATGCAATTAATACAAAGATCCAGATCGTTTCTCACACTCCTCTCTTTTGCCTATTTTAATACAATCGAATTCTTAAAAAACAACAACAATATCAATGTATCTGCAATTATGCCACGTGGTTTAGGGCACCCAATGATGATATCACTTCTACATTGTTATTTTGAGCAAGGAGAGCAAGGTTCAGCGACTAAATCTTGAAGTGTGAGTCGACGCCGTGACAGAGGTTTGTTTTCACTAATGCACATCATTTTGAAAAAGGTATTATAACATCTCCATATTTTCCTACTTGAAATCATCTTACACTAAACTCTTAGCTAACTCTGGTCCGTACATCTTGCTATACCTCGAACCACTCACTTTATCCTACAACACATTACTTAGCTCACCCTAACCCTAACACAACCTCCTGTCGAACTCCTCACCTCTAACCTAACTGTGACCCCACATAATCTGACCGTACCCTGAACTGCACCGTATTTCTCAGCTCACCCTATTGCCTCACCAAACCATAAGCCCTCAACTGAATCTATCCCTGACCGACCCCTCACCGCTTCCCTAACAATTTGCAAAATATGAACTTCGTGAAAATTCAATGTGACAGTAATTCCTGTAGTGTAAAAAGTAAATATTCGACCACAGGCAGGATTCGAACCTGCAATCTTCTGATCCGAAGTCAGACGCCTTATCCATTAGGCCACGTGGCCCTGCATGGTAGAAGAGCACCCTCCTGAGGAGAGTCTTGAGAGTCTGTAGTTCTTCTTTTGAAACCACAGTGTATACCTGCTAGTATGAGGAAACCATTTTGAGCCTTCAGTGAGTGGTGGGATATCCACATAACCACAGCGGGCGCGCACTTATTTCATTCCGAAACCTGGTAAAGGCCATCACAAACCCCTGGGGGAGTTTAGTTGAAGGTTCACATAAAAGTATAGCTTAGAAGCCCTTTTGCAGATGGATTTGACCGCGTGGCCTAATGGATCAGGCGTCTGACTTTGTATAAAGATGGTTGTAGGTGCAAATCCTGCCGTGGTCGGATTGAAGCTGATGTGTTTTTACTGTTATTGTGTTTTCTTGCAATGCATTTAATACAAAGATCCAGATCGTTTCTCACACTCCTGTCTTTTGCTTATTTTAGTACAATCGAATTCTTAAAAACAACAACAATATCAATGTATCTGCAATTATGCCACGTGGTTTAGGGCACCCAATTGATGATATCACTTGTACATTGTTCTTTTGAGCAAAGAGAGCAAGGTTCAGCGACTAAATCTTGAAGTGTGAGTCGAAGCTGTGACAGAGGCTTGTTTTATTAATGCACATCATTTTGAAAAAGGTTTTATAACATCTCCATATTTTCCTACTTGAAATCATCTCACACTGAATTCTTGGCTAACTCTGATCCGTACATCTTACTAAACCTCGAACCCCTCATTTTATCCTGCAACACGTTACTTAGCTCACCCTAACCCTAACACAACTTCCTGTCAAACTCCTAACCTCTAACCCCACATAATATGACCGTACCCTGAACTGCACCGTATTTCTCAGATCACCCTATTGCCTCACCAAACCATAAGCCCTCAACTGAATCTATCCCTGACCGACCCCTCACCGCTTCCCTAACAATTTGCAAAATATGAACTTCGTGAAAATTCAATGTGACAGTAATTCCTGTAGTGTAAAAGTAAATATTCGACCACGGCAGGATTCGAACCTGCAATCTTGTGATCCGAAGTCAGACGCCTTATCCATTAGGCCACGCGGCCCTGCATGGAAGAAGAGCACCCTCCTGAGGAGAGTCTTGAGAGTCTGTAGTTCTTCTTTTGAAACCACAGTGTATACCTGCTAGTATGAGGAAACAATTTTGAGCTTCCAGTGAGTGGTGGGATATCCACATAACCACAGCGGGCGCGCACTTATTTCATTCCGAAACCTGGTAAAGGCCATCACAAACCCCTGGGGGAGTTTAGTTGAAGGTTCACATAAAAGTATAGCTTAGAAGCCCTTTTGCAGATGGATTTGACCGCGTGGCCTAATGGATCAGGCGTCTGACTTCGTATAAAGATGTTTGTAGGTGCAAATCCTGTCGTGGTCAGATTGAAGCTGATGAGTTTTTACTGTTATTGTGTTTTCTTGCAATGCAATGAATACAAAGATCCAGATCGTTTCTCACACTCCTCTCTTTTGCCTATTTTAATACAATCGAATTCTTAAAAAACAACAATATCAATGTATCTGCAATTATGCCACGTGGTTTAGGGCACCCAATGATGATATCACTTCTACATTGTTATTTTGAGCAAGGAGAGCAAGGTTCAGCGACTAAATCCTGAAGTGTGAGTCGAAGCTGTGACAGAGGTTTGTTTTATTAATGCACATCATTTTGAAAAAAGGTATAACAACTCCATATTTTCCTACTTGAAATCGTCTCACACTAAATTCTTAGCTAACTCTGATCCGTACATCTTGCTAAACCTCCAACCACTCACTTTATCCTACAACACGTTACTTAGCTCACCCTAACTCTAACACAACCTCCTGTCGAACTCCTAACCTCTAACCTAACTCTGACCGCACATAATCATGACCGTACCCTGAACTGCACCGTATTTACTCAGCTCACCCTATTGCCTCACCAAACCATAAGCCCTCAACTGAAGTCTATCCCTGACCGACCCCTCACCGCTTCCCTAACAATTTGCAAAATATGAACTTCGTGAAAATTCAATGTGACAGTAATTCCTGTAGTGTAAAAATAAATATTCGACCACAGCAGGATTCGAACCTGCAATCTTCTGATCCGAAGTCAGACACCTTATCCATTAGGCCACGCGGCCCTGCATGGTAGAAGAGCACCCTCCTGAGGAGAGTCTTGAGAGTCTGTAGTTCTTCTTTTGAAACCACAGTGTATACCTGCTAGTATGAGGAAACCATTTTGAGCTTTCAGTGAGTGGTGGGATATCCACATAACCACAGCGGGCGCGCACTTATTTAATTCCGAAACCTGGTAAAGGCCATTACAAACCCCTGGGGGAGTTTAGTTGAAGGTTCACATAAAAGTATAGCTTAGAAGCCCTTTTGCAGATGGATTTGACCGCGTGGCCTAATGGATCAGGCGTCTGACTTCGTATAAAGATGTTTGTAGGTGCAAATACTGTCGTGGTCAGATTCAAGCTGATGAGTTTTTTACTGTTATTGTGTTTTCTTGCAATGCATTTAATACAAAGATCCAGATCGTTTCTCACACTCCTGTCTTTTGCCTATTTTAGTACAATCGAATTCTTAAAAACAACAACAATATCAATGTATCTGCAATTAATGCCACGTGGTTTAGGGCACCCAATGATGAAATCACTTCTACATTGTTCTTTTGAGCAAAGAGAGCAAGCTTCAGCGACTAAATCTTGAGGTGTGAGTCGAAGCTGTGACAGAGGCTTGTTTTAATAATGCACATCCTTTTGAAAAAAGGTATTATAACATCTCCATATTTCCTACTTGAAATCATCTCACACTAATTTCTTAGATAACTCTGATCCGTACATCTTACTAAACCTCGAACC